TTTTTGCACATCATATCAAAATTGCTGGATAGTTAAATGGTGCATGTGGTAAAACTGAAAGTTTCATGGATTCGTATCGATGGGAGCACTCCCATTTATTCGCGGGCGGCATCCCTCTCACGGTTTAATCAGGGCGATGCTCGAGTTGCAATTATAGGCATTACTGCCTGTGCCGTTGGAATACAATTGACAGCTGCATCGTGTGCCTTATTTGCCGAGCTTCCGCCTGACGCGACGTGGATGCAACAGGCAGAAGATCGGCTGCATCGTCCTGGACAAGAGAAACATGTTGTTTTCTTTTACATTGTGGGGGCAAATTCATTTTTTGATAGTGAGCGTTTTGCACGGCTGTGCCGCTCATTTCAGTCTGTTCGTCGCACCACCGATGGAGTGCCTTCTTCTCTGACTGCAAGTTATGCAAGTCACATTGAGCCATTTGGTGGTGATATCACGGATACAAATTTATCCGTTGTGAAAATCGCAAGCACTTCCTTTAATCTTGCGGCCTCAACACCGCTTGTGTTCCGCATTAGTTCCAACACAGGACGCATCCACGTGAAACAAGGCGGGAATTACTTATTGAGTCTCTCTCTCGATGAAGCGCAGCAGCACTGGCCTCTCACGGACGACTTCTCACAGGAGTTAAAAAAGTTTATATTAAACGTGGAGTCCTTGTCGTTGGTTGAACGTCGCCAACTGCGGTTAAGTTCTGTTTGGCTTCCATCGAATTTCTCATGGCGGAGAGAAAAGAGACAGCGAAAAACTTTTGTTCGCTATGCTCAAGATCGACCCGTCCTGGGAAGAGTATTTTTCTGGAAGGTTCAGCGACATCCGTACCCATCACATCCATACGCGGCACAACTGGGGATCTCGGGAAATGGCTACGTGCCGCTCTGCTTGGAGTGCGAAGGCATTTTTCCAACCCTATTCTCTCCATCGCCCGGTGATGTTGTGTGCATTGAAAAGGATACAGACATGTTTTGCAGTGGCCGGTGTCGTGCGGCCTTTTATATTAAGCGTTCCGGATCTGTTGCTCGAAGAAGTCTCCGAGAGGCTGATAAAGGCATTTGTTTTCACTGCCAGGTTGATTGCGAGATGCTCTGTTCATTGCTAGCGGCCGCAACGACATGGAAAGAGCGAGAAGCCATTTTGGACCGTATGCATCCGCAGATGCGGCAGCATCCGACACTTTTTAGGCGAATTGTCGAAAATCCAGTTGCCGGAAACATCTGGAATGCAGATCACATCTTGCCTGTGAGTCAGGGCGGAGGTGAGGCGACTATGGACAACCTCCAAACCCTCTGCGTGGCGTGTCATGCGGAGAAGACAATGTGTGAGTCGAAAATTCGACACAAAGACGCTTTCAAGGGGAGCTACCGCACCACGGTGGATCTCTCCAGACATCGTCTCACGGTGAAGGGCCCACGCCGTGTGACGGCAGAACGTTTGCTGTTTTTGAAGGAACAAGCCTTGTACTTTGCCCTGCGCCTTTTTTTTTTGTGTGTGTCTCCTTTTTCTTTGGGGTTCCACCGGACTACGTTCCCGTTTTTTTTTTCTTTTTTTTTTTGACATAAATTTGATGTGCTTTTACTCCTTTTCTCTTTTCTGCTCCTTCTTCTCTGCACGCTCCAAGAAGGTTCATAACAAAAATAACAACGACAAACGACGGCGACACACCGATAAAGTGAGGTGCAGAGTCACGGAAAAAAAAAAAAAAAACGAGGAAGAGAGAAGGAAATAAAAGGAAGCAACAAGTCAAAGCATCGTATTAAGTTTTTATGGTTTTTACTGAGGAATGCTCCAACACAAGTTTTATTTTCGATATTATAGCTGAGGGGCAGACAGAGGTCAGTGACGTCATAGAGGATGAGATCGAGTTTTTGAAGCAGAACTATGACGGCATTGAGGTTGTGAAGCTCGAGGGATTCTATCCGAAAGTTTTACTCACCCTTGAGGCAGAGTCAAACCCAAGGCATCGTGTGGTGCTTGAGGTTGCCATTGTTGCCGGGTACCCTTTTGTTGCTCCCAGAGTGCGGCTCCGAATCCCAGAAGGGGCCACGCCCGGGAGCATCGGGGCGCTGGATGAGTCGGGGGCGCATCAGATTCAGGCAGATATTCGAGAAGCCATCAGCCCCTGTCTTCTTGTTGGCGCCCCTTGTATAATGCAGATCATCTCAGTGGTGGAGAGGGTGCTATCTAACGGCATTCAACGTTCATGTACACCAACTCATGTGAAATCTGCCGACACTGTGGAACATCCGCCTTCCCAGACGACAATGAAAACGCGGGAAGTTATTAAACTCTGTGTTCTTTTGCTTCATTTACTCAATAAATGTTGCCATCTGAG